TGCATTATAATGTTATACAACTGCCTTCCCTTATTTTCTTTCTTGCACTATTACACTCGCAAGCTCCCTCTCACGAGGAACCTAGGTGCCCATGCACTCTATTAAGAAAATGTCTACATTGATAAAATTACCAAATTGAAATTACAAATTGCCTACATCGATGTCGAGCAACCTCTCGCAACATTGTTCAAATCACCAAATTGAAATTATTTAATAATAAAATAGGCTCTGATTTTTGTGTGAAAAAGGTGTTGCTTGTAGTCTCTGGTTTTTGTGTGAAAAATGGAGAGACAGAAGATTGTAGATAGGAGAAAGAGAAATGAAAATAATGGTTGTGTGTTGAAATTGAAATAATTTTGAAACTGTTAAAACCGGGATGGAATGAAAGAATGGGATTCAATACTATTGTAGATATTGCATCTCCAGAGATTAGAAAAGGCATGGCCATAACGTATGAGAATGGATAATGGAAAAGTTAAACAAAAAAAAAATGACACCATTTTTTCTCTTGTACAGTAACTTGGGATTAGTTTACTATTCCTTCTACAATAGAAACTACTTCCCCTTTTTAATAGAAGTTAGAAAAATACTTTCTAGTTGTTCATGAATTGGACTAATGTCCTAACTATATAGCAAGAATAATGCTATACGTACATCGTGTATGATAATTTGGTCGATATTCTTCCTATGTCAAGGAAATTTGTATAGTAATATGATGGATAAGTTCAAAATCAAGATTGTAGATATTGTCATGTGAGAGAGTTTGAAGAAAAAAGTGCAAGGAAGAGTGTAAATGTAGCAAAGTTGATATAGCTATTGTCGTTGAAAGAGAAATAATAATAATAATAATAATAATAATTTTTTTTTTAAACAAAACAAAATATTTTTAACTGTCTCTTTTCTTATTAAATTCTTGCTCTCTTCACTTATTTTTTTATGGTTGACACTACAATATGGAAGAGAATTGTCGATTGAATGTGTGACATATGCAAGAATGATTAATTTTACCAAGTCAATATAATACCTTGCTAAACAAACACATCTTAATAATTATATAATTGTTGTAGAATAGAGAGAAAAGGGAATAAAATAGCGAGAAGTCAATAGACTTATGTGTATTATTAAAAATCAATATCCTATATTTATTGGATCCAAAATAAGAGTTACAATTGAAATTAAATAGATCTTTATGACTATGTAGCTATCATGATAATACTAAATAATCATCAATAATTATGTCACTATTTTACTACATTCCCCCTTTGATGATTATTTGTACAATAATGGACTCGTTAAAAACTTTGTTTGATAAAATCCAATGAAAAAAAAAAATCAAACAAAGGAAAAATATTACAGTTAATTGTTAATATTTTGGAATATAAAAAAACACGCTACCTCATTAAAGCCGTTTTAGGAAAATTCTGTGGAATAAAACCTAGACTAAGAAAAAAGAGTACAGTCACTTTTTCTGATAAAAATCATTGAATATTTTTGAATCGACGCATTCTAATCTTATGACCCAATTTCTTGAATATAGATGTTGGTTGTGCTTTTGTGAATAAATTGGTCACATTATCACTTAAGCAAATTTGTTGAACATCGATATCGTCACTATTCTGAAACTCACATGAATGGAAGAATTTTAGAGAAATACACTTCGTCTTATCACTTTTGATATACCCTAATTTGAGTTTATGCAATACAAAATAAGTTAGTCCTTCAATTGCATTAAAATATAGTATTTCAGGATCAAGAACACTTTCTCAATCTTCAAGTGTACAAAATGGATCTTTTTTCATATAAAGTGATCGAATAACCACAAGTGATTCCAACTGATGTGCATTATTCATATAAAAACGTTTTAAAACTTTTTTTTGTATATATAAATTGATGAACAAATAATTCTTCTGAATAATGTTTGATCTACTATCTAAGACAAAATTTATTTTTTCCCAAATTTTTCATTTGAAATTCTTTTTTCAAATAATCTGCAGTTTCGTTAAGATCTTCAATTAAATTTAAATCATTAACATTAACTACCATAATTGCAAATATAATATTTGTTTTCTTTATGAAAACACATGGCAGATATTGTCATTTTATAACCATCTTTCAACAAATATTCGTTAAAACAATTGTATCACATACGTCCGAATTATTTTAATCCATATAATGATCTTTGTAATTTAATTGAGAACATGGTTCTTAAGCATATATCATTATTTTCTGCAACTTTAAGTTTTTCGGGAGCTTTCATATATATATATATATATATATATATATATATATATATATATATCAAGGGAAAAATACAAATATGTAGATGCTACCTTATCAGTATCAAGCGAACCATGCAAATATGCAATTAATACATCTATAAGGCGCATATTAAGTTTTTGTGACACAGTTAAACTAATTAAGAATCTAAAATTAATTTTGTCCATTATGGGAGAATATGTTTCCTCATAATCAATTTCAGGTCTTTATGAGAAACCTTAAGCTACGAGTTGGATTTTGTATCTTGTAATTTCATTTCTTTTATGGTGATTATATTTTCAGATGTTCGGATTATATGTCTAAACACTTTTGGTTTCTCTAAGGAATTCAAATCCACCTATATGGTTTCTTTCCATTTTGTCCAATCATTTATATTTTGACAGTCTTTAACAGACCTAGATTCAGAATTCTCATTTTGCATAATATCAAGAACTATGTTAAAGGCTAAAATATTGTCTACAACAATATTATTTCGTTCCATAATTTTTGAAATAACATATAATTTATTGTAATTTCACTATTTTCATACACTTATAATTCTTCAGGAACCATATTTTCAATATTTAATTGATCAATCTTTTCTAACATTATTTCTTCCTAAGTTTTTTATTATTTTTTATCTTGTATATTTCTTTTTTGAGGTACAAAATCTTTTGAACCAATTAATCGACCACCCTGCTAACATATTTGAGATTCATTTGCAGCACCAGTTGTCCTTCAGGAACATCAATTTTTACTACATATTTTTTAATAGAATATATAACATTGTCAATTTTCTTATATCAACAAATACATCAAGTAATTAATTTACAACTCTTTGCAAATGAATTTTTTTCAACCTCTTACTCACATTAATTGCTGAGGAGATCAAAGTAAGACAGAGTTGCTTCATTCCAAGAAATTTTATCTTATTTTTCAGGATGTAATTTTTCCCTCCCAAAATTGAGAAAGTCATTTCATCAAAATGACAATTTACAAAATGTGCAATAAATAAATCACCCATTAAAAGTTTGGATACCTAATAATGTATAGTGAATTAAGACCCACACAAATACCAAGTCTTCTTTCTAGATATGTCAAGTGCAATAAACTCATGTTTTGCTATGTTTGTCATTTGATTAACTATACAATAAAATAAAATAAAAATACAACCAATTTCGAATAATACGATTATATATCACACAAGTAATCAATGTTAACATTACATGAGATGAGTTATATATTTTCCTTCAAGGATAAATACTAATTAAAAATAATATATTCTTCGAACCATGTGCTGTTTTGAGAGTACGTTGTATTTTATTATTACTTCTTCAAGATTAATATGTCAATATTATTTTGGAATATTAAAATTTAAAATTCATGCTCTTTAAAGGCAAGTAATATTCTTCAAGAATATTAATTATGATATTGTGCTACATTAGGAGTAACAATGAATTATTTATAATAAATAAATCTACAATTAATATTTTTCTGAAATATTATATATAATATTGTGTTACTTCAGGAGCAACAAGATAAATTATCAATTTAAAATTTATAAAAGAGTATCTAAAAATATTTAATAAAGTTAAAGACATAAAGAATATTTAATAATTATCATAAACGTATATATTTTACAAACATAAAAAACAAAAAACGAAAACAAAAAAAAAAAAACAAAACAAAACGAAAAAACAAAAAAACAAAACAAAATACAAAATACAAAGAGCAAATTTCATAATTATTGAGCAATTACATTATGACAATCAAATACACCAAACTTTAAAAAAAAAAAGAAAAAAAAAAAGAAAAAAGATTTTGGAATGTACCAAATGGATTGCTGCACAAAACTAGCGTGTGCGTATGTATGTATGTATGTATGTATGTATACTCAATTCAAAACCAAAGGACACAATTACCGAAAGTGGATGCATGTATTCCGAAACTGAGTTCGGCATAAATAGAATTGGGCCACTTTCAACATATTATATTACAATCTGAATGACCCTAGCACAATTAATTTAGGAGTAAAATTAAGCACGTCACTAAGTTTTACTTATTTTGATGAAGTGCAGCATAAATTGAAATAATTAAAAAACATATTCTACTAAATTGATTTCTGTAAATTTGAAACAACCATGCATGTACAAAGAAAGACAATACTACTTTTTGTAGATGAATCATGTTGATAATGTTTTATAAAATAGAGAAAATAAAATAAAATAAAGAAAAAGCCAATAGCCTTATATGTATTATTAACCAATACTCTATATTTATAGGGTTCAAAATAAGAGTTATGATTGGAAAGAAATAGATCTTTTACATTAGATAAGACTTATTTATGTATCATGATAATACTAAATAATCATCAATAATTATTTCATTATTTTACAATAATTATCAGTTTATTACTTTTATGAATAATCAATCGCTGAGAAAAATATATAAATGTTCTATATTAGTCTTTTTGTAATTTCAAATTTAAGGTTCAGGTATTTTAGAATAATACTGATGTGCGAGAAGTGTGTGACAGATAAAATGACATAATGTGTGTTGGCATCAGGCACAGAGCCAGCACTCGGCGAGGGGCTTGACTGCCCATACTGGCTCCGTCAAAATCTTCAAAGCTGCCGATTAGCGCCAGTTGCATAAGTACCGGAGCCTATGTCTCTGCCTCTCTGGAGAATGAAGGAAGACGAAGAGAAGAGGGCCATTTTTATTTTTATTTTTGTTTGGGTAGGGCTTCAAATCTTGGGCCTCTTATTGTTAGCCCAATTATTAAATGAAAATAATCCAATTTATCAAAGTCCAATTAGCAAATAAAATTGAATCAAATGCCCAAATCAACTGATACCATTTCTCCTTTTCCGATTTCTTCAATTCTTCCTTCGCTATTGTTCGCCCCTGCCTTGCACTGGCTGCACACGAGACACGCCGGTGCAGGACCGCCGATTCGTCCCTGGTCATATGGTCGATTCTTATATTCTTGTATTATCTATCTTTGTGTGTTTATTTAATAGGTTAATTTTGTATGGTACTTAAATAATGAAAAATTTCTCTCGAAGTTTTGGATTTAAGGGGGTTTTTTTTTTTGGTGAATCCCGATTCTGTCACGTGTAATTATAAGTTCGCCAAATTGTTTTCAATGTCTATTATGAATTTGTGACATTATGTCTTTAATTAGAAATGGATTTTTTCCCCCAAATTTGTATTATGTATTTAATTAGCAAGTACAGAGGTTCGTATTAGTCTTGGTCTAACGCTTTCTCTTTTGACTTGTTTTACCCAAATTTGTTCACTGTAATGAACAAGAAAAGAGGTCTGTACCTGCACATGAGAGTGACGAGACACTTCTTCCTTTGCTGGTCGCCCCTACTCCTGTTTGTATGTGCTAAGTGCTAACTATTAAATTGGCAAATTTAATTTTATTGTGTTGTAATTTGTATGTGCTAACTGGTCAACACCATGTTTAAGAGTATCAATTTGGCATGAAATTGGCATCCCCCCAAAGACACTGATAAAGTGTCTAAATTTGGAGCAGAATCACATAATTCTTTGTCCACTTGGCGAGCAAATTCTTTGGTTGGAGCCAATATTAATGCCAAAGGATTCCTTCCTAAGGTCAGTGACTTACTGTTAAATATGTTATGATTTATTCATTTGGGAATTAAAAAATTGTGAATTGTGATTTATGAATTATGATAAGTAATTTACGTTTTATGAGTTATGATTATTGATATGAGAATTTATGTTTACGAAATTATATTTACGAATTGTGATTTATGATAAGTAATTTATGTTTTGATGAGGAATGATTAATGATTTGGGAATTTATATTTACGAAATTATGTTTGCGAAATGTGATTTATGATTAGTAATTTATGTTTTGTAATTGAAAAATAAATTGAGGCATTTTGTAGATTATGGAACGATTTTTTTAACCAAAACAAAAGTCCATACCCAATTCTTCTACTTCTAGTTGTGCGACTAGTCCCGCCACTAATTCTAGTCGAGCACAAGAGTTATTCAATAACACAAAGAAGTCTTAGGCTCAATTCAATGTGGATGATCTTGTATATGATCCAGGGATACGCCCCCCCTATCGAGTCATATGATCCTAACATCAGAGATGATTTTAGGATGTCATACTTAGAGAAGGGTCCTTGTCAACCATATGGACGTGATTTTCCAAGAAAATTGATGGAGAATGATAATAAATGTTTTCAAAAAGAATGGTTCTCCTAATTTTATTGGTTGGAATATAGGATAGAAAAGAATGCGGCGTATTGTTTGCATTGCAACTTGTTCAACCTCGATAGAGGCGGTCAAGGGGGTTGACATGTATTTACTAAGACCGGCTTTAGAGATTGGAAGCAGAAAAAGACATTAAAAGATCATGTCGATCTCTTTGATAGTGCTCATAATCAAGCTTTTGCAAAGTGTATCAACTTGATGAATCAAAAGCAAAGTATCTTCTATGTTATTTATAGTCAAAGTAGTAGTTAACAACAAAGTTATAAGACCAGGTTGACTGTAGTGATAGATTGTACCAGACTCCTCTTGATGCAAGGATTGTCATTTTGTGGTCATGATGAATCGAAAGAGTCTCTTAATGGAGGAAATCTAATTGAGTTACTGAACTGGTATGTAGCTCGTTGTAAGGAAATTAAAGAAGTATTATTTAGTAATGCTCCTGAAAATGACCAAATGACTTCACCAACCATCCAAAAGAATTTGGTTAATTGTTGTGACATAGAGACGACAAGGGCTATTATCAATGAGACACGTGATTCTTTGTTTTCAATTTTGGTTGATGAGGCTCGTGATAATTCTATGAAAGAACAAATGACAGTTGTTTTGAGGTTTATTGACAAAAGTGGGCAAGTGAAAGAGCTTTTTTGGGTATGTCCCATGTGACTGATAATTGTGCCCAATCACTGAAGGATGTCATTAATGCAATGTTTTCTACACATGGGTTGAGCATATCTAGCTTGAGAGGTCAAGACTATAATAGAGCAAGTAATATGTCAGGTGAGTTCAATGGGTTGAAAGCTTTAATTCTAAGAGAGAACCCACGTGCTATGTATGTTCATTGCTTTGCTCACCAGCTTCAATTGACAATTGTATCTGTGGCACGTAGGAATTGTATGCTTGGTGATTTTTTCGACATACTTGCTATTATTGTGAATTTGCTTGGTACATCATGTAAGCGTGTAGATGCTCTTCGAATAAATTATCAAACTAATATTCTGGAGAAGCTTAATATTGGGAAACTTACTGGTGGAAGTCGTCAGTTTCAAGAAATGAGTTTGGCACGCCCAGATAATACTAGATGTGGGCTCACATCTACTGACAATTACTCATTTCATTAATATGTTTAATACTATCATAGATGTTCTTGAAAATATATCAGAAGATGGCGTACATTCAGATAAAAATTCTTCGACTGTAAGACAGATGAACATTATGTAAGATTTTGAGTTTGTGTTCAGTTTCCACTTTATGTTTGAAATTCTTACAGTTACAGACGACCTTTTGCAAGCCTTACAGAAAAATGATCAAGATATTTAGAATGCTATGAGGTTATTTCATTTGTGTAAGTGTGCATTGCAGAACATGAAAGAGAATGGTTGGGATACTTTGCTGAGTAGGGTAATTGAGTTTTGTGTTGATAGACATATTTTAGTGCCCAATATGGAGGATACTGTAGTAGTGAAAGATCGACCTAGGCGTGTAGCTCAGCAGGTGACTTATTTTCATCGCTTTTATGTTGATTTATATTGTCACGCGATAGACTCAATCTTGCAAGAGTTGAATGATCATTTTCCAGAAACAATTACTGAGCTCTTTACTTGCATTTCATGTTTAAGTCCCAGAGATTCATTTGCAGCTTTGATGAGGATAAATTACTATGTCTTACTTAGTTCTATCCTTTAGGATTTCAATAGTGAAGAGTTTTTATTACTTAGACATCAACTTGATAAATTTCTTTTGCTTGTGAGAATGGACGAAACTTTCTTTAATCTCAATAGCATATCTTGTGTAGCTCAGAAGTTGGTTGAAACTAGAAGTTCCTGTTATTTTCCATTGGTATATAGGCTGCTCACCTTAGCTTTGATATTACGTGTGGCAACTGCAAGTATTGAAAGAGTATTTTCTGCTATAATCTAATTAAGAGTAATTTGTGTAACAAAATGGGAGATGACTGGTTGAATGACAATTCAGTGGTTCACGTGGAGAAAGCTATTTTTAAAAAACTTGAGAATGAGGCAAAATTACAAAGTTTTCAAATCATGAGACCTCGTAGAATGCAGTTGTCTAATTTTACAGTTACAGAGTAACTGTATAAGGTTGTATCGTATATTTTTTACTATTTTGGGTTGTATTAAAGTATATTTTCATATGTATACGATTTTACGTTTTAGTTCATTTATATATATTGAATAACTTTTAATATTATGTAACCAAATTTCATTAAACGATCGGACTATTACGATCGTTGATGGTCAACGATCAATCCCCTTAGTTCGATAGTCGACGGTCAACGATTAACCCGTCCTAACTGGACTTCGATCTTGGATTCGCCGTTGGTTGGCATAATGTGATTTGATGAAAAAAATTGATTGTGTTTCAATGGGACATTATGTTAAATACTATGTCAACCATTATATTTGTGTAGCATGATTGTTCTTTTTAAAAATTCCACTACTTCATAAACTTACCCATATTTTTAGCTAAAGTATTAGGGGATGAAAAATAAGTAAAATTCATGAAGAATATTTCATTTCTCTCTCTTTTTTTTTTTTAATAATAAAAATTCAAGTTTTCAACAAAAAAGAAGTATGTTTGTGTTTCAAAAACGAAAAGGACAAAAGAGCAAAAGTATGTTATCATTTAACACAAAAATATATATTTACATGAACAAAGAAGTTACAAAGTCAGTGTCAATGTGGGTATAAACCCTTCGAGTTTGCCAAACAAGATGAAAGTCATTTCCAAATCTGAACCCTCAATTCATCTTACTTCTCAAAAGGTTTCTAATCTTCAAAATTCAAAGTCGTCTCTCAATCGGTTTTGGTGACTTCTATTATGAATTCCAATTTTTAAGGGAAAAAAATAAATAAATAAATTCGTTACCGCTTGTTTCTTCAATTCATTTTGGCAGTTTCCATTTCTAGGAATTCTGCAAATGTAAATTTTAGTTAAATTGAAGATGCCCAGTCGAGCAAGATACAGCTCCATGCCTAGGGTTCATAGATTGCATGGTGGACATTTGGACAGAGAAAAAGAAAGAAGAATAATATTTAGATGGGTAGATTTCAAAACAATCAAAACCAAATTTCTCAATGGCAAAATGGGACAAAATATCTGTTGAAAGTGGGAAAAATTAGCAGCAGGCAGCGGCCAAGGTTAAATTATTAAAAAGAACTGGTGGATTTTGGTTTAATTCGATGGAAATTTCGAGAAAATCTGAAGAAATTTAAGCAAAAATTGTAGAAGTTAGGGTTGGGAAAAAAGTGTCACAGAAAAAAAGAGAGAGAAGAAATGAGTAAAATTTGCATTCATATTCAATTTTAGTATTTTTATACAAAAAAATAATTAAAAATAGGCCAAATCCTTATGGTCACATCCCCCGACGATTTTTTCCCAGCACAAACTTTGAGTTGTGCTGTGTATAACTCAAGTTCATGTATCTATAAAATATTCGATCAACTCAACAATACTTAGAAGGATTATAATGTCCCAATAGTTCAACTGTCGACACCCACCGACCCACGTGATAGTTTTCATCATGAAACATCAACATGACATAGCTGAATTTTGGTACAACTTTTTGTTGTGCGCTTAAAAAATGAGAAATGTGAAGTGCATCCATTTCTAATAACAACAAATTAATAAGAATGCACACCGAAAATTCAGGGTCCAATTTTCTTGGTTGGTGAATAGAGCCAAAACCCAATTATTAGATTTCCCATCAACTCAAAATGATGCATTCATATTCATGAATAAAACAAATTGCTTAATTACTAACACAGTTGTATCTCGACAATGATATAAACAAATTTTGCAAAGAAGAATAGAAATTAAATTTTATGAACATAAAATTTTCGTTGTTATTTAATCCCACTTTGATTGCATCAATCACAATTCAAAATAGACGAAAATGACTGGATGCGTAAAGTTCTTTGCTCATTAACTCAACTCAAAAGCAATTTAATGGAACTATAAAGAGGGACGAGTCATGTTGAGGGATCAATTTATTGATATTTTTCTATTCTTGTAATTGTTTAATTTGTAATTAATATTGTTGATTTATATTTTACTCATAATTACTAATTAATTGGCGTCAGAAACCTACTCTCGGGAAAAGGATTTCGCATTAAATAAAGTTGAGATAAGATTATGAAAAATGACATTAATTAATCATCTTAAAAAATGCACGCCTTGTTCTATCATGACTACTGCATTAAGCAATAAAATTATCCCTTGATTGGTACAACACAAGTATATGTTATTCGATGATACCAAGGCAAAAAGTCATTAAAAATATAATAAAGAGTAAATAAAAGGAAAAATATAAAACTCCTATTTTGTCTCATCTCTATCATAAAATGTATGTCATGCCAATAATTTCTCTATTGAAAATAAAAATAATTATATTTATGTTGCTCATGAATGTCCTTATCTGTTAAGTTAAGTGTGGAGCTTAATTATTATTGCTTCGTTGATCTTAATTAAGCCCTAATTTTTTAAAAATAGGGAGCCTTCATTGGATTTATTTGATCATCAACAAAAGAGAGTTAGAAAAAATATAGTGTGCGATTCTCTTGTAAACTTCTATTTATCATAGTGAATTAATATAATTATGAAAGATGACGTAATCGCATTGAGGCAAAACTCTATAATTCTTAGATGTTTTTGTGTTTCTATTTCTTCTTGCATTTACATTGCTCTTAGTGGTATAGAATTAAGGTTTATAATTCTCCATATTTTCAAACCTGACTGCTCAATGATTCCATACTTATTGTTCGATCAAACAACTTAGAACACTATTTGAATTACATGACTAAGTGCCATTGATAGTGTAGCTTGTATACAAGCTTGTAATGATAGGCAACATTTTGCCATTGATGATAGTGTGTTGAACTAAGTCAATTATTTATTTATTTATTTATTTACTTATTATTATTATTATTATTATTATTATTATTATTATTATTATTATTATTATTTTTTGTTTAGATGCAACGTAAATGTATTTTAAAAGTCATCTTATCTGATGATTATTAATAAATTTTACTATTTTGTCTTTTCGAAATCCAGATTATGAATTTTAACATTCAAATTTGAAATGATTTTCAATGAGTTCCAATATTAAGGGATCCAAATAAAATCTCAAAGTACTTATTGCTAGATATTAATGTAATTCTTGTAAAATATACAAAAGGAGAGTTTTGATTTTTCCTCCTTTTTTTAGAGTTTAATTCTCCATCTATGGGTGTGTTTTAGCCATGTTTTTTTTTTGAAAAATATATTTTGGAATAGTAGATTAATGGAAATTTGTGGTTAGAAAAAGGAAAAAAAATTTTGATTTGCGTATAATATTATTTTAATAAAGAATATGTTATTGAAAAGAAATTGAAAAATATATGATAAGAAAAATGGAATCGAACACCCCGTATGTATGTTTTGTTTAAATTATTCGTCTTTACTTTAAAATCTCTCTAAATCTTACCATGAAATTAAAGCTTGATTAGAGGTCGTTTTTTTTCACTAATTTCACGTTACTCCTCTCATTCTTTGTTGCAATTTTGAACGTTGGATTACGCCAAAATCGTTTAATAAGCACTTTTCATATAATTAATCAAATTAACATCGAACCCTACGTCAGGACAAATATACAAAGTAAAAATTAATTCTTATGGGGGCCATGAAAGCAATGAAACATTGTGAGAAATTTGAATTCATATTGGATTAGTTCCTAGCCCACGCAAAACTTGTCTGACAATATAGAAAGTGTGGACCAAATATTTCAAGTATTTCATGTGCAGCTTCTTCACTGTTAACATATGCAGAAAATTTCCGTTTTCCAATTCTTTCTCATTAGTCTCTTTCACGGATTTGGATTAGACAGTTGAATGATTGAACCATCCAATCACATAAACCTGACAAACATTGTCACTATTCATCAGTTGAAGCATCTTCAAATGCCTTAAATGAGGAGGAAATTATTTGAAATGTCCGTCCATTTGTCAGAATGTCCACTTTCACAAATCTTTGTAAAAATGTCCACTTTCAAATATTTTGGACCAAAATATCTTCATGAATAATTTATGATTTCACACAAAGACAAGAAATAAACATTTTTGCAAAAAATTTATTGACCAATAATTTTTTGACACATAACCGGCCATATTTATTTTTAAAGTGCACATGTCAAATCACAATTAATGCTATTTTTCTCATTGACACAAAAAGTCAATAATTACATTTCTAGTGTAGAGAAATGTCATGTTCGTAATGAAATGTTATTCTAGATATTTAAAATGTCAATAACAATATTTGAAATGTCGAGAACATTTAATATTGTGATTTGATATGTGTACTTTTAAAATATAAACGAAATTTAAATATTGAGAATGATATCTGAAATGTCGATAACATTATTTTAATGTAGCTTTTCATGGAAGCTACTTCTCGAAATACGCAACAAATTGAAAAAATAAATAAATTGTTTCTTTTTTTCATTAAGGATATAATAGAAAATTTAGTGCTAAATTAAAAATTGGACATTTTTCAATTGACACCCATAAAATTAGATGTTTTTTAAAATACCCCTTAAATGAATCAATCATACTACATAAGTTTACCATCTTTTTTGACATCATGTGTGGGGATGTCAAACGAGTAGAGTCGACGTCGGCTTATTAAAGCTCGACTCGTGGGTGGCTCGAACTCGTCATTTGGAATGTCAAATGGGTCGAGTGATTCATCATTTGACGAGCCCGAGCCCAAGTCGAGCAGGGGTGGGATTCCACGAGCCGAGCAAGGTTCGACTCGTCGAGCTCACGAGCGGCCACAAGTCAAAAGTTCACGAGCTCGTTAAAAATGTGAAGAAAAAGTTTGAAAATTTTCCAAAATATATATATATATATATATATACTCGTCGAGCTCACGAGCGGCCACAAGTCAAAAGTTCACGAGCTCGTTAAAAATGTGAAGAAAAAGTTTGAAAATTTTCCAAAATATATATATATATATATATATACTCGTCGAGCTCACGAGCGGCCACAAGTCAAAAGTTCACGAGCTCGTTAAAAATGTGAAGAAAAAGTTTGAAAATTTTCCAAAATATATATATATATATATATATACTCGTCGAGCTCACGAGCGGCCACAAGTCAAAAGTTCACGAGCTCGTTAAAAATGTGAAGAAAAAGTTTGAAAATTTTCCAAAATATATATATATATATATATTGAGTTTGTGAGCTCAGCTCGACTTAAGGCTCATGAAATCATGAGCTCGCCCATTGAGCATGAGCTGAGCTTGTCACAAGTCGAGCTCGTGTGTTTAAGGGTCGAGCATTGCCACCACTAATCATGTGAGTTGACAAATTTTTATACATTAATTTCAACAACTCATTTTTCAATCAATGGTCAAGATTTCGATACTTATGCAGGCGATCTAAATTGCTGTCATCCAGCAAGGTATAACAAGCATAATTGTAAAATGAATGGTAAACATTGTTAACACATATTCCAGGTTGATATGGCAAAAAAATAGAAATTATTACGAGTTTCTCTTAGAACCAAAAGCTCTATTAGACGGAGGCATAGAGCAAGATTTATATTTCTATTGCAGATTTAGAATGTAGTTTTGTTTGCAATGAAACATTGTGAGAAATTTGAATTCATATTGGATTAGTTCCTAGCCCACGCAAAACTTGTCTGACAATATAGAAAGTGTGGACCAAATATTTCAAGTATTTCATGTGCAGCTTCTTCACTGTTAACATATGCAGAAAATTTCCGTTTTCCAATTCTTTCTCATTAGTCTCTTTCACGGATTTGGATTAGACAGTTGAATGATTGAACCATCCAATCACATAAACCTGACAAACATTGTCACTATTCATCAGTTGAAGCATCTTCAAATGCCTTAAATGAGGAGGAAATTATTTGAAATGTCCGTCCATTTGTCAGAATGTCCACTTTCACAAATCTTTGTAAAAATGTCCACTTTCAAATATTTTGGACCAAAATATCTTCATGAAATTCTGTGAAATCCTTCCTGTACACACAACATTATCCAAATTTGAATGATGGTTTGTCAGTTATCCAGTCTATTTTTTAGGGTTAAAATAAATATTTGGCCAAAATATAAAGTTAGAGACGGCTAAAAGAAACCATATCCATCTCGATATGCATACCTTGTCAATATCACTAAAACAAGTATTAATTTCACTACAAGAAATAAACATTTTTGCAAAAAATTTATTGACCAATAATTTTTTGACACATAACCGGCCATATTTATTTTTAAAGTGCACATGTCAAATCACAATTAATGCTATTTTTCTCATTGACACAAAAAGTCAATAATTACATTTCTAGTGTAGAGAAATGTCATGTTCGTAATGAAATGTTATTCTAGATATTTAAAATGTCAATAACAATATTTGAAATGTCGAGAACATTTAATATTGTGATTTGATATGTGTACTTTTAAAATATAAACGAAATTTAAATATTGAGAATGATATCTGAAATGTCGATAACATTATTTTAATATAGCTTTTCATGGAAGCTACTTCTCGAAATACGCAACAAATTGAAAAAATAAATAAATTGTTTCTTTTTTTCATTAAGGATATAATAGAAAATTTAGTGCTAAATTAAAAATTGGACATTTTTCAATTGACACCCATAAAATTAGATATTTTTTAAAATACCCCTTAAATGAATCAATCATACTACATAAGTTTACCATCTTTTTTGACATCATGTGTGGGGATGTCAAACGAGTAGAGTCGACGTCGGCTTATTAAAGCTCGACTCGTGGGTGGCTCGAACTCGTCATTTGGAATGTCAAATGGGTCGAGTGATTCATCATTTGACGAGCCCGAGCCCAAGTCGAGCAGGGGTGGGATTCCACGAGCCGAGCAAGGTTCGACTCGTCGAGCTCACGAGCGGCCACAAGTCAAAAGTTCACGAGCTCGTTAAAAATGTGAAGAAAAAGTTTGAAAATTTTCCAAAATATATATATATATATATATACTCGTCGAGCTCACGAGCGGCCACAAGTCAAAAGTTCACGAGCTCGTTAAAAATGTGAAGAAAAAGTTTGAAAATTTTCCAAAATATATATATATATATATATATACTCGTCGAGCTCACGAGCGGCCACAAGTCAAAAGTTCACGAGCTCGTTAAAAATGTGAAGAAAAAGTTTGAAAATTTTCCAAAATATATATATATATATATATATACTCGTCGAGCTCACGAGCGGCCACAAGTCAAAAGTTCACGAGCTCGTTAAAAATGTGAAGAAAAAGTTTGAAAATTTTCCAAAATATATATATATATATATATTGAGTTTGTGAGCTCAGCTCGACTTAAGGCTCATGAAATCATGAGCTCGCCCATTGAGCATGAGCTGAGCTTGTCACAAGTCGAGCTCGTGTGTTTAAGGGTCGAGCATTGCCACCACTAATCATGTGAGTTGACAAATTTTTATACATTAATTTCAACAACTCATTTTTCAATCAATGGTCAAGATTTCGATACTTATGCAGGCGATCTAAATTGCTGTCATCCAGCAAGGTATAACAAGCATAATTGTAAAATGAATGGTAAACATTGTTAACACATATTCCAGGTTGATATGGCAAAAAAATAGAAATTATTACGAGTTTCTCTTAGAACCAAAAGCTCTATTAGACGGAGGCATAGAGCAAGATTTATATTTCTATTGCAGATTTAGAATGTAGTTTTGTTTTTCTTTCATGTCAATAGAAGACAACTAGATAGTAGATAGCATTTTGAATTGTAGCTTGATAGGACGCATTGGAGACACAATCATAGACTCCGAATGTTTATTCATTAAAATATTAATGCTACGTACATAAATCAAATATCTTTCAACTTGGATTACATCTACATATACAGAAATTGATAGAATGCATTAGAGATATTCTTATATTTCTAATTATAACAAGATGTACTTTGAATATAAGGCAACAATTTATGTACGTTAATACTCAATATCGATTATTGAGAATGATAAAAAAATATTGTTTCTGCACATCTCAATAGGTTAAATTCGACAATTTATAAATAGATTTACTATATTAGATATTGAGAATCATTAAAAAAAATTAAAAATAAAAAACTTTTTATTCTATCAAAATAACCAATATTTCAAATAAAAATTTCACTACCCCCCCCCCCCCCCCCCCCCCCCGCCAGTTTATTTTTATTTTTTATGAGGTGGGTCCTACATGGGGACTCATCTGCTGTGTGTGTTCTGAAGAGATTCTGTGAAATCCTTCCTGTACACACAACATTATCCAAATTTGAATGATGGTTTGTCAGTTATCCAGTCTATTTTTTAGGGTTAAAATAAATATTTGGCCAAAATATGAAGTTAGAGACGGCTAAAAGAAACCATATCCATCTCGATATGCATACCTTGTCAATATCACTAAAACAAGTATTAATTTCACTAATGAAGAAGTCCAAAATGTGGATGATGCTTGCAAACAACTAGATGATACACTTTTGGTAGACAAACTGAAACCTTGATACATCTTCTCTTTAGAAGAACTCAGACCCCTTAAAATTTCCTAAACAAAAAATAGCAATGCTACAGACAAGAAGACCAAACCCCAACAGCCCAATCCTAATTAACTGAGAAAAACAAGGTATCATTCAGGTGACTTGTTTACATCTTTGTTAGTGATACAAAGCAAATCAGTTGCAGACACCTGTCCAATCAGAGGATTTCTCTATGTACAGTGGTTGAAACTAAGCTGGGAAAATTCATTACACAATGGGCTTTCTACGGGAAAATGTCCAAAAAATTGTGGGCCCAGTGATACAATAAAGTGAGACAACTGCTTGCATTTGTGTCCTTTTCTAACTACCTCACGCCCTTCACTTCCTTTTTAAGTGCCCCATTGCTCTCCTTTCAGCTTCCCACCGATTCTTGATTGCAGTTATCGTATAGTTAGTGTGTGCTTTTATAGCTCAAAATCATCATGTCTAGCAGGAGAACAAGATTTACAGAAGATGAGATTAATGAACTCATCTTGAAATTGCAGGTTCTGTTGCCAGATTCTAGTTCAAGGTGCAAAACAAGGGTTAGCTCTTACTTTACTTATAGCTTTTTTTTTAATATACTTTTATTGAAGTTTTCAGCATTCGGCATTTTACATCACATGAATTCGACGGTACCCGACAATGTTAACAAAGAAAAAGAAGAATTCTAATAATGTGTATCGAACATGCAATTCGAAGACATCAATGCAGTAGATTATATAACAATTACTGTTAAGTTTACACTTGTGCATAAAAATGCATCGTGGAAGGTTTGATGCATGAATAAACTAGGCATTTTACGTCTATTTTAAAACTATAATTATTAAATGTCATTCTTTACTGAAGGGAAGAAAAGAATATCTTTGATGGGAATAGCCAATTTTCGGAGTATAACTAGTGAATCTTATTACCTACAACCTTATTCGAGAAAGCACTTGCAATTAAGGTACTTTCAAGTGTCGAAGATTAGTGCTAAAATTTGTATTTATTAATAGGTGTCAGCATCAAAGATACTGAAGGAGACATGCAATTATATTAAGAAGCTGCACAAAGATGTTGATGGTCTAAGTGAGAGACTTTCTGAACTTCTGGCATCAAGAGACATCAGTGTTATTGATACAGATATCCTTACGAGTCTTCTCCGACAATGAGTTTGTCACATTCAACCACCCCTCGAGTGTTGGACTATGTAAAATTTAATTATATTGTTCACTTATATATCCACTCGGCCGAGATTGACCTTCATGGCGAGGTCAAGGAAGAGCCGCAGTGACGTAGACTATTATAAATTTCTGTATTTCTTGTTGCTTTTTGTTCGTTTCATTATTGCTCTCGTATTTGAGATTAGGCTTAATCCATAACGGGGCATCTTTATGTAAGTTCAATTCTATTTACGGGTTTGAATTTCTTCTCTCTTAAACAAAATAATGTTATTTGGGTCCCACACAATTTTATAAACAACCTTGCTAATAGGCCCAAAATGAGCTCATAACATCTAGATACAGTGTCTTTTTCTCAGTCATAACTTAAATCATATAGCATAGGCTAATGAATATAAAGTACATTGGGTATATGGCGAACATGATGGAACTTCGAGTCTAATTAGTTTGTCACGCTCAATGAGCTGGAACTTTGGCCGAGTCTACGACTAGTAAAATTTACGGAATATGTATTCACATGTACTTCGATGGCTCGATACTTTTAATTGGGCCATATAAGAAGATCTATTCAGATGCTAATCATAAGCGAATTCCAGAGTCAAAGTTCAAATTTTAGTTAACACAAAGATCGAAAAGGATTAATACTTTTTATGTTCATCTAATCTAACTTTTTCGTTATAAATCTGGGTTGCCTCGCTATTTCTAAATGGCTGGGCCCTTTTAAGCTGGTTTAGTACCCAGCCCATCTATTAAAAACTCCTTTCGGAATAACGACTTTTAAGCTGGTTTAGTACCCTTTTAAGGGATGCTTTCTGTCGTACACGTGGCTTATTGGCAACCCTTGATCTGCAACGTTTAGTCTGAGTACTTATTGTTGGACACTCCATTTTTTCGGTAGATGATTAGTCTTTCTCTCTCGATTGTTCTATCTGTGTGTGAACTAGGGTTCTCTGAAAATTTGGTAACCTTTATCTTTGTGATGATCAACAATGGGAGCATTGCAAAAAGAGGAGATCAACTTTCTCTATAATTGAGTATTGAGAGTTGTTTAGAAGATCTGTGAGTAAGATTCTTTGTTACCATATTTGAAAAAGAGAGGCTAGAGAGAACTCGAAGAAATATGTGATTTCTTCGTACATTTGTATGATTTCTTGGAGATTTTAGTGGATCTAGAGCTTAATCGCTTAGTCGATACTCAACGGGTGAGTAGGTCTTTGTGACCGAACAACCGGACCCTTTAAGGGTGAAAAATTCTCTGTGTTCTTGTTCTTCTCGAAATTTTATTTTAAATTTCTCAACAAATCGAACAAATCTTTTTACTATGAATACCAACAAGTGGTATCAGAACGGGTTTCGAAAAGTTTTTTTAAATTCTACTAAAATCCTTGTCTAGAAACCTTCCCGATTTTTTACTCCCGATCTACAAAGATCCAACTGTTGGTTGGTTTATTTTTTAAATCAGTTTGCCTTCTTGGGGAATTTGTTTCTCCATATTCGTTACACTAGGGTTTGTAACCAAAATCTATTGAAAACAACTCTTAAATCTCAAAACTCGTACTTGACTCGATCAGATCTGTTATCTTTGTTGAGTTTTGGTAACTTTGTGTCTTAACTCATACTGAGTCTTGTCGAGTTGAGTCTGCTCGTTTCAATTCCTTGCCGAGTGCTACTGACTCACCACTGAGTGCTACTGAGTCTCTGTGACTCGTTGTCTAGCTGACCTGAGCTGGCATTCTTGGATAAATTCAGGTAATTTGATTGTTCTTTCACTCTGAAATCTTGAGATTTCAAATTCTGGTATCCTCTGAAGCACCTTTCTTAATTCTGAAACTTTTCTTCGGTTAATCTTGAACAAGGTCATTAAGGTCAGTAACTTGCCATTGCTTTCATTTGTCTAAGAACCCTTGAGGATCTGGAAATCTAAGGAAGCAGTGAACCCCAAGGTTATAACTTCTTAGACCAAATTCAAATTAACTTTTGTATTAAATATAATCTGATTCTCTGTAATCTTCGATAATTGTATGATAAGTAACAAAATAAACATCATCTATTTTGTACTGCCTTTATTCACTGCAATTGCATTGTACAAACTACTTGCATTCATCTTGTGTATTGTACAACTATTACTTTATGAGTATATTTGTCAATATGTCTACTGTACAAAAATTTGAAGTCCAAACTTGGAATGGTATTGGAGATTTTAGCCTTTGGCGTCAGAAAATGAGAGCATTATTATTACAACAGAGGTGTGCAGGGGCTTTAGATGGTACTTGGGCTGCTGAAATTAGTGCCTATAGAAGGCAAGAACTTGATGAAATAACCTGGAGCACTATATTCCTTCACCTCTCTGATGGTGTGATTAGAAAGATCGGGGAAACAACTTATACTCAGGCTTTATGGACTAAACTGGAGTCTTTGTACTTAACTAATACTATGCCTAAGAAATGCTATTTGCTTAGGCACTTTTATAACTTCAGATTTAATAATACTCTAAATTTAGAAAAAAATATTGACAGATATACAAAATTGATCTAAGATTTAGATAATTGTGATGAGAAAATTTCAGATGATCAGCAGGCTGTTGGCCTGTTAAATTCACTTAGTGAAAGATACAGAGATATTAAAAATGCTTTAGAATATGGGAGGGAAAACCTTACTGTTGATATCATCACTATTGCCCTAAGAAATAAGGAACTTGAACTAAAGTCAAAGTTCAAAGATATAAAAATTGGTGAGGGTCTCTATATAAAAGAGAAACAAAGCCAAAATAAGAAGAAGAATGTATGTAACTACACTTCCTCTAATAAGGGCAGATTTCAGAAACCAAAATATTCTGCAGCTCTAGCCTGCAATAATGAACTTGACATTCAGGGTGTTGTTCTTGCCAACACACCAAAAAGAGACCAGAATGAATAGGTCCCTGATTCTGGATGTACTTTTCACATGTGTCCTATTAAGGAGTGGTTTGCTGAATTTGTTGAATTCAATGGAGGTCAAATTCAGATGGGGAATGACATGAGTTGTCAAATTAAAGGAATTAGAAAGTTGAAACTCAAGTTAACTAATAACTATTTACTTGAGTTAAATAATATCAGATATGTGCCTGATTTGAAAAGAAATATAATATCCCTAGGGTAGTTAGATGACCAATACAACATTGTGATCCATAAAGGGCTTATAAGTGTAAATGACGACAATGAGGAAGTCGTCACCTCTCATAAGACACATGGAATTACACTATTTTTGGTGAACATCTTGTAGGTTCCACTTCCATAGCTGTAAAGTCTAAAACAAATCAGTCTCTAATCTGGCATAAATGGTTTGGCCAAATTTATGAAAAATGTCTCCTTCTCTTGAATAAACTTGGCTGTTTTGGAAAGGATAACATTGAAAAGTTAGATTTTTGTGAAAACTGTATTTTTGGAAAACACCAAAAACAATCTTTCAAACCTGGAATTCATAAAACATCATGTATATTAGAGTATTTATATGCTGATCTCTCGGGACAAGCCTCTGTAAATACACTGAGTGGCTTTAGATTTTATATACTTATAGTAGATGACTTTTCAAGAAAAACTTGGACCTTCCTGTTGAAACAAAAATTTGATACTTTTCAAATCTTTAAACAACGGAAGTTAATGATTGAAAATCAAACTAACAAGAAAATTAAAGCACTTAGAACTGACAATGGATTTGAATTTTGTAATACTGAATTTGATTCTTTTTGTAAAGACAATGGTATATTAAGGCACAGAACTGTGACATACACCCTGCAACAGAATGGTGTTGCTGAAAGAATGAATAGAACCCTATTAGAAAAGGTCAGGTGTATGTTACATAGTTTTAGCTTACCAAAATTTTTCTAGGGGGAAGCTCTCAAAACTGCAACCTATCTTATAAATAGAAGTCCATCAAGTGCTATTAATTTTCAGATACCTGAAAAATTGTGGTCAGGAACCATACCAGATTACAGAAAATTAAAAGTTTTTGGCCGTGCTGCCTATTCTCATCAAAATGAAGGAAAATTGGAACCGAAATCACAAAAATGTGTCTTTCTTAGTTATGGAGAGGAAACCAAAGGATATAGACTTTGGGTTAAGGAATAGAATGGCTTTAAAGTCATCATAAGTAGAAATGTCATATTCAATGAAAAGGATATGCCATACTTGAACTCATCTGGACCAAAGTCAAATGAATCCATAATCATAAAGCAAACTGTTCTGAAAAATCAAATTGAAAGCCCTAATGATCAGAATGATCAAATTGAGGTGGAGATCAAGCTGAAATTGATCAGCTTGAACCTGATATTGAATCTGAAAATACATCTCTTATTGATTATCAACTAACAAGAGATAGAGAGAGGAGAAATAGAATACCATATACCAGATTTAATAATGATGAATTTGTCACCTTATTTTCTGGTCTGGATTCTTTGAATTCAGAACCAAACACTTATGAAGAAGCTGTTAGTTGTGCTGACTCAAAGTTTTGGAAGGAAGCTATGGATGATGAAATGAATTTCCTAATTAAAAATGACACTTGGGTGTTAGTGAATAAACCAAAGGATAAAAGAATAGTTGATTATAAGTGGATCTTCAAAATAAAACAAGGCGACTCTAATTCAGAAAATAAAAGGTATAAAACCATGTGAGTAGCGAAAGTCTTTACCTAAAAGGAAGGTGTGGACTACAATGAAATTTTTTCACCAGTTGCAAAGTACACCTCAATTAGAATTCTCCTAGCTTTAATTGCACATTTCAACTGGGAATTAGAACAACGGGATGTCAAGACAACTTTCCTTAATGGTGAACTTGATGAAAAAATATACATGAATCAACCAAAGGGGTACCAGGTAAAATAAAAAACCCAACAGGTTTGTCTTCTAAAAAAATCACTTTATGAACTTAAGCAAGCTCCCAGGCAGTGATATATAAAATTTTACTCTTATGTGAAAACTTTGGGCTTTATGAAAGTAATTAAGATTCCTGTTTTTTCTTTAAGGGTTCTAGTGGTCCTGAATCCATTTATCTGCCGTTATATGTCGATGACATGTTACTTGCTTGCCATGATAAATCTGAAATAGAATCTGTTAAGTTTAAACTGAAATAAGAATTTGAAATAAAAGATTTAGGAAATGCTAAAAGAATCCTACGAATGGATATAGAAAGGGACAGAAATAATTACATGCTGTGTTTAAAACAAGAAAATTATGTGAAGAAAAATTTAGATAAGTTTTCTATGTTTGAATGTAAATCTGTATCCCTGCCTCTTGCAAATCATTTCAAATTATCATGTGATCAGTCACCTAAAACTAAAGATGAGATTGATAGAATGAAAAATGTTTCATATGCTAATGCAATATGATCCATAATGTACCTTATGGTATGCACTAGACCAGACCTAGCTCATGGAATAAGTATCTTGAGTAGATTCATGGCAGACCCAGGTGAAACCCACTGGTTAGCCGTTAAATGGATGCTTAGATATCTGAAAGGATCATGTCATTTGGGAATAAATTTTAAAATGTGCAATGAATGTATAATTCTGAAGGGTTATTGTGATTCGGATTTTGCTGGAGACTTAGACAAAAGAATGTCTACTTCATCCTATATTTTTATTTTGTGTGGTAGTTGTATCAGTTGGAAATCATAACTGTAAAAATTAGTTGCATTATCTTCAACAGAGGCAGAATATATTGTTGCATGTGATGCTGTTAAAGAATGTATGCGGTTAAGAGGGTTATTAAATGAAATTGGTTTTCAAAATGATTCTGTAAGAATATTTACTGATAACCAAAGTGCTATATATCTCAGTAGAAATCTAGTTTATCATGATAGAACAAAGAATGTTGACATAAAGTTCCACTTTGTGAGGAACATGGTTGAAAAAGGTATGATTTCTTTAGTCAAAATCCCTACAGAATATAATCCCTCTGATTTAGGTACCAAAATTCTCCATTTAAACAAGTTTAAAAATTGCTTAATGATTCTAAATATCACATAAGATTGACGATCAGTGATAAATTAGAATCTTAAGTCATGTATTGAATTTAAACTAATTTCTATTTTTTTTTGTTTTTACAGATTTTGGGAGCAAATGAAGCTAATGCGACTTCTAGATCAATTAATTGAAACAAAAAATAGTTGAGCAAGGTGGAGTTTGTTATAGATCTGGGCTGCCTGGCTATTTCTAAATGGCTGGACCATTTTAAACTGGTTTAGTACCCGGCCCATCTATTAAAAACGCCTTTCGGTATAACAATTTTTGCCTTTCTTAAGGGATGCTTTCTGCCCTACACGTGGCTTCTTGGCAACTCTTGATCTGCAACGTTTAGTTTGAGTACTTATTGTTGGACGCTCCATTTTTTCGGTAGATGATTAGTCTTTCTCTCTCGATTGTTCATCTGTGTGTGAACTAGGGTTCTCTGAAAATATGGTAACCTTCATCTTTGTGATGATTTCTTTGTAATTGAGTATTGAGAGTTGTTTAGAAGATCTGTAAGTAAGATTCTTTGTTACCATATTTGAAAAAGAGAGGCTAGGGAGAACTCGAAGAAATCTGTGATTTCTTCGTACATTTGTATGATTTCTTGGAGATTTTAGTGGATCTAAAGTTTAATCGTTTAGTCGATGCTCAACGGGTGAATAGGTCTTTGTGATTGAACATCCGAACCCTTTAAGGGTGAAAAATTCTCTGTGTTCTTGTTCTTCTCGAGATTTCATTTTAAATTTCTCAACAAATCGAACAAATCTTTTTACTATGAATACCAACATTTGTAAATATGAATATTCGAAAAGTTTCACTTGTATAAACACATGCTTCTCTAATCCCCTGTTTGAGCCCCATTATAATGATTTTCACTCATCTCATTTCCCTATAGTAACTGGTTGACAACACGTTACATTACACATGATTTTTGTCAGCGATGGACAAGGAAAGAATAATGCCGTGGAGCCTATAGAACTAAATTGCCCTAGGATGCATTGGAAATGTACATCTTTGCCCTCCACTATTTTTAATTCTACCAATATTCAACAATCAATTGAAAAGGGTAGAAACGGAAAGAAAACATTTTTCTTACTCAACTGGCAACATTTTCGCAGGCGACCTCGGTTTTTGTAAGGGACGCTGTCCTTGCTGTCTGACATGGGGCCCATGTTTTTTGAAAAAAAGTTGGAAAAGATTGGCAAGAATGGGGGCCAAACACATGCTAAATATACAGTATTAGAATCACAAGTTCTATAACTCAATACAGAGATGCGGGTGAAGGAAATAGTAATCGACGAAATTATCTATAGAGCGGAAAAATAAGCATAAATTCTGCCTATAGTTAAATTTTCATCTCTCAATCACGATGCTTGTAATTCACATGTCCAATGGCATTTGAAATTGTGAGTGATAGTTCGTGTTATTCAAGAAAAGAAACTCTACAAAGCATTATCCGAACCCACATCAACCAAGAAAAAAAAAAGATAAAAGAAAAGGAAAACAAACAACTAATAAATTTCCCCCACTCGAATAAGGAAACATCCTTGTTGCATATAAACCGTGGTCGAGAATCATCCCACAAGTCCAGGATCCAAGTGAAAAGCACTTGTAAGGATCCCCGATTAGAATCTTAGCTTTGCCAACATATTGGGCTCCCAATTCTTATAAAGAAAATTAAATGTTTTTTAATTTTTAACAATTAATTTGGGACTCATTTGCATTTTTTTTAAAAGAAAATTAATTATTATTTTTAAATAGAAGGGTTTATTCGTCATTTCACAATTTTTAATATAAAATTGGATGAAAATGGATAAAAATGATGTTTTTTTTAAAAAAAAATTATGATCTAATCATATCTCATTACATTATTTATATATAAGTCACAGTCGCTACTTGCACGCCGCTTAGAGTTCTTAGGCCTAGAAATAGGAACCCAGAAGTATCTTTCACCCAATCATGCTACATGTATACTTTGTTTGACATCAATTTTGACATTGTGCCACGTGTTGTAACATAAGTAGACAGTTTTAAAATGAAACACACTTTTTCGTCCATTTTAATTTGAAAATCAATGGAGTGTCAACTATAATGTAAACAAAAGAAGGTAAAAGTGGCTTATTCCACCTTTCACCTTATCAAGAACCGTTCATCTCATCTGTCCAATTCCATTCTTACACGAGTATTGATAAGTCATCGCTATGACTACATCTTTAGTGGAGCGAGCGTACCACGTGGCCGAGGTGGAGCATCCTGATAAGGCGATCGCTTTGCCACGAGGTGCGACCGCTTCACTGAAGTTTCTCTTCATTGTGGTACTGATCTGCTATCACACTACCACGTGTTGCGACTGTCTCACTAAAGTTTTTCACCATCATGGCATTGATCTACGTTCGCAGGTCAATGATCTTCATGTTAGTCAACACCTTCGTCAACTCGAACGATATATTGAGTTGACTCACCGCGTCGTCTCCTACATCGCCGACCCAATCGGCTACTCGGTTGACATCAAAATCAATTCTTTAGGCAGGGAAGTTAGGTTCGAGAGTTCTCGCACCATGGCTTGAAGAAAGAGGTTCAAATGATTCACCGTGAGTGTATGGTTTAGGGAGGAAATGGAAGAGAAGGGTGACGAGTCAAGGCGCAGATGGTTTTGAGTGACTCGGCGGCGTTGGAGGCGAGATGTGAGGGTTCTTCGTCGGACTCGGTTGGCTCGGTGACTGACTCATGGATGACTGCACCGACGACGGCGCCGAATAAAGTCTTAATACAACAGTTGAAGTGATGGCGATGATTAAAATATTGCACTAATTAATAAGTAATAAAAATTACATCAGTAAATGCGTAAAAGCAAGCAAAATAGAAAAACTAAAACCAAATACTGGGATCCATAGAAACCAACAGCAAATAAATTTTCAAAAAATAGCAATTCACTTGAATTCTCAGCGTTTTCCATTTGCAAAGCGTAACCGAAATTCTCAAGAACACCATCGCAGTTGATTAGAAAATTTCTGCTGTAGCTTACGTACACCTCCAGTTCATGCACCTCCTCTCTTACTTCATCCACAGCCGTCGATTTCAACTTCCCCAGATCGTTAACACAAGATCTCAGATCATCAATTGCCGTTGTGATCGACACCGTCATGTCTCTCCTCTGCTCATATGTCTGCGTTATTATATCTGGATTGTGGTACATGATCCCCAAGGTGCCATTGAGTTGACTCAACGAGTCACGCAATGAACTCGAGCAATTCTGAAAAACCGAGTCCTTTGACCTTGTCGTCGACATCATTGAAGTAATGTTGTGCAAACCGATGAAGCAGATTTCAAGAGAGAGAATGAAAATCTGGTTAGGGTCTGCTTCAGGTGTGGGTCTAATGGTGGAAGATAGAGAAGAAATACAAGTTGACTGAGTCCCAGTCACGGAACAGAATTCTCTGATTGCTAGATTTGGATGAAGAGACTGTAACTTCATATTATGATCGTGAAGGAGAGATGTGATCATGGCTCCTATAATTAGTGCTAACAGAATGATTAAGGTGAAGAAACTGATGATTAATCTTTTGTTTCTTCCTTGAATTGAAGAGAAAGGATCTTTTTCTAGGAGGCTGGAGGATTTGGAGATGTTATTCAACGGATCCATGTTAATGGACAGTCAGCTCAGTGTTAGCTTATGCATCTAAGAGATATGAAAATAGGATATTAACGGGAATAAATTAAAAAAAGAATAAATTTATTGGGCGATTTTTCATAAGTGGCTTTTCCATTACCACGAAGGTGAAAAATGACCACTTTTAGGAAATTTTGTGCCTCATTTTATCCTAAGAATACATTTAAGGACAATAAATTAATGGATAATGTATGATTAAAAAATAAGTAAAAATTTAGATTTGCTGGTAATATTATTTTATTAGAAAATGTGTAATTGAAAAAAAAAATAAAAAAAAATTATTTTGAAAACAATGAAATCAAATAAAAGCTTCAAATACATTTGACAAGAAATTATTTAAATATGTTTCAAAAACAAAATTATTTAATGATAACTTTTAAAGTTGGCCAAATATGAGTTTGTTTGACGAATGTATTTCACAAGCAAGATCTTGCTATATGTACAACAAGGTATACATAAAGGGATTATATAATGTTACATGACGCTCTATCATTTGTCAATTTAAAAAATAGTTAACATTTTCATCCAATCTTTTCCCTTCACATCATTTTCCTTAACCTTTTATATATTAATTTTATGTACAAGTAGTAAAATCCTCACAAGTAATATAAATTCAAGAAGAGTAGTTACAATTAACCTCTTCAAAATTGACGTTCAAAACAATTTATTTTAGGATGTGTTTGATTGCAAACATGTAATTTGTTTAGAAAGAAAATAAATTTTTGACAATTGAATTGTCTAGAATTTACTTGCATAGAAATTGTCAATTAAATGTATTTGATTGATTTAATTTTCAATTTAAAAAATATTATATTTGTCCATATTTATTGACAGATAAATGAAAGAGAAAGAGAGAGTGAATTTCATGTAAAATCAAATCTTACTCTCCTTAAAAAAAATATCTTCCTTTATTTTAAGGAAAATATGGTCACATTACCAAAAGTAATAAAATATTTTTCATAGAAAACGTCAATCAAACAGCATAAAAGTAGAAATTTAAGTGACAAAAATACATTTTTCGTTAAAAATATTGACAATTAAACGCACCCTTATTATCTGAAAATTTTCATCACAAGGCTGGACTTGACTATGGGTGATAGCCTAAAGCAACTTTGAAACGGTTTGATTCATTTTTAAAATCAAAATTTTGATGGATTCATACATAGCCAAATGATTGATTTCAAATATGTGGTTTGACGATTTCATTGGTTAGCCCTAGTTCCTATTATATTAATTCTATTAAGTGCTTGTTTGTATCATATTATTTGTGAATAATATATTATGAAATAGTGATTAATGTTAAAATATGTGGTTTAAAAAGAATTTTTTTTTAATTTACGTATAATATAATTTTAATAAAAAATATGTCTGTAAAAAAATAATATAATAAAATATGAAAAAAATGATAGACAAATAAAGCCTAACATTCAAATGTATAATCATTGCATATAGTTTTATTTTTAATTGTTTAATATTTATAGAAGACTCCATATAAAGCTTATCTGAAGTCTTAAAAAATTTAGGCCGGCCCTATTAGACAGAAGAATAATGATGCTGTTTGTAAGTCAATGCTGACCCATTAGTTGGCCATGTGGTAGTTGGTCACCGCACATTTTTCAATGAATTGATACATAACCAAAATTTGTAGGAACAATTTTGCTATACCTTCATTATGATTGATAGCTTTGTTTATATTTCATGATATGGTGCACAGTTTTATAGTTGATATTAACAATACTTGATACAATCAATGACCTCGATTTCTATACGCGATTTACGATACAAATAACTTAATACTTTGTGGGAAAGCATTGCTTACACACTAACCAGTAAGCATCTTTTCATGACAAAACATTTTTATGTATGCCCAGAAAAGTAATTGCTATAGTATAAAATTCTTGTTTGGACTTTATTTTTTAAAGCTCATTTTCTTATTTTCAATCACACATTTCATGAATTTACTATTTTTATCAAATTTTCAATCATATATTTTTAACTTTAATTAAAATTATAATTTTTAACTAAATCAAATATGGGCTAAAAACCAGCGCTTGGGCTTATTAAAGAGTTTTTTTGAAAAAAAAAAATTATAGAACGCTCAAGTGTTGATAGATTTTTCGTAGGAGCTTGCCGTATGTACAGAAACTACACACAGAAACCATACATGACGGACATAACAAGGAGCGGGTGGGGAATTTTTGATATTTTTTATTACAACATGGTCCCACACAGATGAGATTTCTGACAGAATTGTGTGGAACAGATTTCAGTACAAATGGAAATTCTCTATTTCGCAAGCGACCTGCAAGTCAACACTTGTCCATACAATATGTGAAGAAGAAAGAAAAACTCATGATCTCCTCAAGAATGGATAATTATCTTCAACGAAGGCAAAATAGTGAACAAAATAAACCGATCAAAAACAAGTACTGCAACACAATTATACCCAGATTAAATGCATTTTCCATATTCCATCTCCTAATGAGTGCAATCGCAATGCGGAAATCGAAACTGTTTCTCCGTGCAGGCGCGAGGTTAAATTCGAAAAATACGGATCTGTAGTTGAGGAGAAAAAGTGAAATGTTGCTCACGTATATCCTGGCTTGATCCAATTCCTCTCTGATTTCAGTCACCGCCGGCGATTTGATTTTTGCCAGATCATCATAACAAGATCGCAGATCTTGTTCAGCGGTGACGATCCAGTTCATCATGTCACTCCTCTGCTCATCAGTATGCTTTCTCACATCAGGATTGACCCGGAACATCCCCAAAGCTTGAGTGAGTTGACTCAGAGAATCCTGCACCAGACTCGAGCAATTTTTGACCGCTGACTCGGTTTGATTATCGATGCGTGGAGTTGTGCTAGTGAGTTCTTCTATAGCAATATCTAGAGAGAGTGAGAAAAGCTGATTCGGATCTGTTTTTGCTTTCGGTTTGATTTTATAATTTATTTGGTTTGAGCAATAAAAAGGCAAATGTGAGTAGGAGCAAAATGAATTGACTGCTAGATTTGAGTGGATTTGAATGGATGTATCTATATATTGATCATGCGAGAGAGAGATGATTATGGCACCCATGATTAATCCAACTAAGACGATCAAGGATAACAAAATGATGATTAGCCTATTGTTTCTTTTGCGGAATGATGATAAATGCTCATCTTCTTCATAAAGGAGGCTTCCTTTGAATTTGTTGTTCGTGGACTCCATGGATCAAGCAAATTCAAAGGTAATTGAGAAGTGTGTTGTGATATCTTGTTATATGATTGCAGTAGTGTATGCGCACGTCATTTTGGAAAAATCAAAGTAGCAAGAAACGAAGAAATAATACTCTTGGCCTACAAGGTTAATATTTAATTATAGTTATTCTTGGGTGACACGTCCGGGATTGTCCAAGGGAATTTAGCCAGTTAATAATGTTATACTTCATAATAGTGGAATTAGAAGTTCAATCATGTTAAAGGGTCAGATTTTTTTTATGCCACATGGCGTTATATCATTGGACTGTTTTAAGCACGATTAGCTTTCCTATCAAATCATCTTCTGTTACCTCAAATTATGTTAAAACATCTATTAAAATTTTCTGACAAAATGTCAACATCGGTCAAAGTTGGACAAGACGAATCATACCTATAGTTTGTCCTGAACTTTGAGGTAGGGTACCTCTTTTTCGAGGTCATGTACCTCGAACTCACCACAACCTATCAACTGATTTCGATTCCCCTTGGCACTCGTTTTTTCGAACGAGGCCTTTTGTCCGTCTCATGAGGATAGTACTCATGACTTTCTTCTCCTGTCTGTATCCTTTGTCTAGAATGGGGAAGACAGCGGATCACTTTTCTGAGGGGTTTATGTCCTTAGTTCACCGACCGCTGCGAAGGTCGGCTCGTGTCAATCGGGGTTGTGAAATCCGGCCTGGTAGTTATATGTTTTAGCGCCTCTTTTTTGCGAGAGGGCTTTCCTGGGCCTATGCCTTTTCTCCTCACGTGATTAATCTCAGTTGGTCCGCATTTGAGCTAGTACAGCTCGTCTTTCATGCCTATTCTTAGGCGGGGGATGCATGTATTTAAGAGCGAGCTCATCTACGGTTCCCATTTAAGGTTGTCCATACTGATTTCCCTCTAACAAAGAGTTGAATGGATGTGGCCGGTTTAAGGAGATATGAGGGCGGATGGCCTGAGCGAGTGAAATGGGGATTGATCCTGTCTGTTTCTTGTAGGACCAAGCCCGTTGAAGACACTGGTCTGCCTTCTTGGCGCATTAGCTTTGCTGTATTCCAAAGGAACGGCAGTCTCCTCGATTGTTCGATATGTGACGTAATTGGTAATCATATCCATATCCACCTTTCTTTCTAGTGGAACGATCTCCTCGTCTTGTGAAGAGTTAGCCAATTGACCTTACTTGCACTCTAGTAGTTTTCGTACTGTGGCGTTTTGCCGAGAGATGGTCCCTTCGTTTGCGGTGACGGTGGCCAACCCTCTGGTGAGCCTTGCTGCTAGCCTAGGCTTACGCCTTAAGCCACTTCTTTGGTGGCAGATGAGGAGGGCGGTTGGCAGTAGCTCCGGGATTATTAGGGCACTCTGAGAGGATGTTTCCTTGCCAATGCATTCTTTGGCCTGTCTTGATACGGTTTCTTTCTTCGTCGGACTCATAGCTGTCCCTTCTTGATGGCCATGGCTCCATTCCTGGAGTTGTTTTCCTTTATTCAAGGATTTTTGTTCTCGATCTTTTTGAATACCCAAATTTTGTTACCTTTTCTATGGGATTCTCGTGGTTTAGATATTCCAAGCTTCCCACAAATAACACCAATCTGTTGACCTTCGAAAATGACTAATAGGTGTCGTTAAAGGATGATGTACACGTGGACGTAGTTTACCTTATGTAAAATATAAACGGTATGTTTATAGAAGAAAATGAATAGTAGACAATGAATGTGTATTGTGTTCTCTTGTATATATTTTTCAAGATCCCTGTAAATGATACAAGAATTGCCTATTTATAGTGATTACGACGTGGTTATTGTTGGATTGGATCCACGTGACCTGATCTGTCGACCCTTTGTGTCACATCAACTCTAATCCACATTAATTACATTGATATACTTTTGACAAGAGATTAGCCACTCTATAAACCTAAGCTGACATCCCTAACACTTATTAACTGCACACGTCACATCAGCTCACATCGGTAGTTAATTCTGAAGAGATGCTTGCCCAACCCTCTTTTGGTTGTGAAGGACTTCGGATACTCAGAGAGCTCGACAGTAGAAGGTAAGCCACTTCGGAAAGAAGGATAAGGCTACTTTGGCTATTCTCAATGAGACAACCTCAGTGCTCAACGTGACAGCCTTGGATGTTGACCGCTTTTGCGTGCTTGCTATGTGTCCAAATATGAGGACCCCCCATGTGGGTCATTTCGTCTGATTAGTAACAGTTGCAACAAATGAAATGTTAGAAAAATGTTTGTTAGTGTTAAAAAGGTTTGAGACTTCTGCTACAATTATCTCTTTTAAATTTGGCAAAAGATTTACTGGTAGATTTTCCAAGTTCTAGAATTAATCAAAAATTTTAGCCTCTGTTTGTTTGCAATTTATTGCCCAATTTCAATTCATTTCTGGACCGTTGCATCTACTGCAATTGTCAATTTTTGACTTCTTCTCTCATAGTGGATCCCGTGTTGGCCAAAAAAAAAAAAAAGGGTCAAACAATGAATTACTCTTCAAATAATTGGAAACAACTAGGGGGCTTAATATGAAAAATGTGTAGTCGATGTGAATTAAGCTACTTTGTCGGAAATATTGACATTCTAAGAATTGATTAAATTTAATTGTTGATTTTTTTATTTTTAAATAGTTCAATGACAAAATGTTACGTGATATTTTAATCAAGGAAGATATCAAAATTTTCTGACAATGTAACATAGTTGAGTTGAGTTGACATTTTGCTCTTGTTTGATCCTCATTCTTTAGAAAAAATGAATTTTTTTACAATATTTTGACATCATTTCAATTACAAATTTTTCAATAAAATAATATTACACACAAATTCAAAAATTTTTCTTATTTTTAACCTCACATTTTCTTCCACTCAAAATGGGCTCAAACAAGGGCTTTGTTCTCTCCATTATTGTTGGTGATCCATTACCCAAAAATCAAATGGACTCCCCGGTCAAGACGACTTGGGAGTCACGTCTTTGCAAAATTCAATTTCTTTGGTTCAAGGAAAATTGAAGAATATTATTTTGCATTTCATTTGTCACATGGGTAGCGTTGACTAATTTACTATTTTCATTAACCACGTCAGTTAGTTCCATGTATCAGAATAGCTTTACATTAGGTAGTTCGTGGTATTTTATCGATCATTTTTTTAACAAAAAAATTCAGTAAGTGCTAAAAAATTTTAACTCACAAAAACTAAATTGATCATCCCACTTTGGTAAATATCATATACTATTTTTGTATCAATCACCACGTAAAACCATAACGTACAACACTATCAAGAACAAGTACAAACCACAATAGAGAAACAAAATAAACCCATAATCAAAACCAGAGTAACCAGGGTAATAATTATCACTCACGACAATAGGATTATAGAACTCGTCAAGAATGTAATCTTTCATAAGAAATAATCCCATCCAGTTAGCCAAACACATCCTTGCTTTATCCACCTTTGATCTCACTTCATTTACTACCATTTTCTCTCGGTCAATCTCCACCGTTGACTCAAACTCCTGTAATGCATAGAAACAATCTTCTGCACCGGTCATTGCAGCCATGTTCCAGGACTTTATATTATCAGTTTCACTATAAGTCAACGTTTCGATCTCCATGGCCTCCAGGTCAACGGACAGAGTTGCCAGTGATTGGTTGAGTAGACTCAGTGAGTGACTCAGCAGAGTGGCACATTTATGGAAAGTCGACACTGTGGTGGATAACTCATTCGAGATTGAAATCATCGCGTTGGATATTGAGTTGTTGCTGTTTTTGAGTTCGGTGAGGGCAATTTGAAGTGAGGCGGAGAAAATTGGGAGGGGATTGGATGCAATTGAGCTACGATTGATTAAGTGGGACATTGAACTGAAGCAAGAATCGGGGTAAATTGTTAAGTGACAGTAGAATTTGCGTGATCCTTCGAAGTAAAGGTCTGAGTATTTGGATTTTGTCGAGCGATTCTGTACGAAGAACAAGATTCCAGCAGTGGCGATTAAGGTGACGAGAATGATTGAAGTAAAGATTAAGGTTTTTCTGTTTCGTGTTTTGGGTAGTGGTAGTGGAGTTTGATCTTCGAAATTGAGGAGAGTTGCGTTGAGGTTTTCATTGCTGGACTCCATTGTTTGATTTGAGTTTTGGAAGAGTGGAAATGGTGGATGAATGGGAAAAATATTGGCTTTGAGCTAGTCAACTTTAGTGTGCCAAGCAATGTGGGAAAATGCCCACACACCCAATAAAGAAATTATTTATTTAAAATTTACTTATATTTAATTATAAACTGAAATACTTAATCCGAGGAATTTTTATTATTTAGGTATAGGGATCAAAGAATTTTAACACAAGGGTGGATGAGGATAGTTGGTAAGGACTAGTTTTTGGATTTTTTGAGTATGTATTTAGCGTGTTTGGCTCTCATTCTATGCTAATTTTTTCAAGTCATTTTTCAACAAGTGTGGGCCTCAAGTTAGAAAATAGGACGGTTCCTCTAACATTGCTCAGGCCACATGCTAAATAGCATTTAACTTCTCGTTATTGCCCTTAAATTTATGGTAGGTTAGAAAGAAATGGTTGGGTTAAAATCTGATTGGCAATGTTGTAAATTTTTAATTGCTTTGAGGGCAAAATATTCCATGAAGGCTCTACGGGATTATCCACTTTATATCTATCCTATCAAAAATCTGACTTCTTGTACCGTTTGATCACGCATGTACTGTAGGAAAATGAGATTTGATAAAAAAAATAATAATAAAAAAAAAACCCTCATTAAAATGAGTATCAAATGGTGGAAAATGAGGATGCTATGCATAGAGACCATGACTAAAACAAATAACTTATAGATTAGAAATGAAAAGTGAAGAAAATTAAAAATAGAACACGGGAAACTTTCCAAGGCCCCATAGGTTCGGTGATTATTTCAACGCTTAATTCTTTATTGGGCATTTACAAAAGTGAATATGCTCATAGCACTAAAATCATATCAAAGCATCAAGATTGGTTTTTCAAGTGGAGAGTTCGAGGGACAAATATGAAAGAACGAAGAGTAAAGTCTCGTCAAATCAAAACCAATAATCCATTCAAATTACCAAAAGATCAAGGGTTAATAATCAACTGAAAAATCCAGAATCTCATCCAACAAAGTCCTCCACTAACAAAAATGTCATTCCGCAAATCAGGGCCGACCTTGATAATTTGGGGGCCTTATGCCAACTTTAAAAATTAGGCCCCTATATTTTGAGTCTTCTTACATAGAGTTTTAATATAATTATGAAGAATCTAATATAAATAATGAAGTCTAAAAATTTGAAGATGAAAATAACAAAATGTCAAATTTCAACATACAACACAAATTATAAGCGAAGTTTGATAAATAGAAATACAATGCAATAGCAAATGAGTATTTTCATTTCTTAGATCATTTTCTCACTGTAACTATTTCAAACAAAATTGAATATACATTTGAGTGATTTATATACAAAATTGGAGAATGTTAACTTCGAGAGATAACGTATCAAAATAATGAAAATGACGATAAAATACAAATGAATTTTTAATTTTATATTAATTCATGAGAAATTAACTTAAAAATAAGAAGTATGAACACAGACAAAAAATTATTATATCCAAAATACCTTCAACAAACATCTTTAAAACAATAGTAACAATAGTCTATGTATTCTGTAGTATATCTTTTGAAGATAAGAGAGAAAGAGAAACACGTAAGGCTTTAATAATGGTAGTGAGACCAAACCAATCTACTAAATTGAATCTTCAAAATTTTAGTCCGAAGGGAGATTATTTATTACTCGTTGGGTTGAAAAAATTTATGGAGGGTGACTTTTGAACGTGGAATTTGAAAAGAAAAGGAGACATTTTTGTTTGGTTAAGCAAAGAAAGTGAATATTTGGAAGATAAATGATCAAATTAGTTATAGATAGAGAACGTAATGTTTGTGATATATTTATGTGATAAGTTTTATGATATTTATATGTTTTTTAAAAAGTTATTGTATTTTCAATTTTTATTAGTTTCATTTGTTTTCATATGATTATTTCATTTTAAAGAATTCGTTTTTCTTCTGCCAATCAATTAGCCTTACATAATTTGGAGTCCTCACCGAAGTAGGGCCTTAGACGATTGTCTATCTCGCCTATAGTCAGGACCACCACTACCGCAAAATATTTAATCGAGAATTCTGTAAATCGTTTGTAGCCAACGTGCTCAATATAAAGTTAATTCAATATGGTTTAAATGGTGGGTTAATAATGCCTAAATAACTTCTCATTTGGTTATTAGAGGAAAATTATTGTGGGAGAAAACCACCCACTTCTATGATGGATGGAAGTTGTAGTGGTTGTCCTTATATATATGCCAAAGGATCCCTAGCCAAACCCGTACAAAATCCTTGTAGAATTTTCTTTCTAAAATTGAGAGTCTTGCATTTGTTTCCCTCAAGTTGAAGGGGTTAAAAAGTGGGTATTGATTGGAAAACTTTTGGTACTTTAAGGACTCATTTCTATTTCAGATTTTCAATTAAATTTTGAATTACGAATTTTAATTTTTTACATATAGTATCAGAGCCACTTCACGCTTGGTTATTCAGATTTTGGAATAATATGCACTCATAAGTTGCATGTTTTGTTTACAGTCATCATATTCCCATTTCCTTTTCATTCAGAAAATTTAGTGCTCCATTCAGTAACTGATCAATACATCTATATAGCACTAAATTTATGAATATTATAATATTTTACATGACAAGCTTTGAAACATGTAACCATGACAAGTTTTAAGGTGTTTCCATTTTGAATAAATTTACTTGTACATAATTTCATGTACATAAGGGTGTTCATGCCCCCACAAACATGACAAGCTTTGAAACTTGTAACCATGACAAGTTTTAAGGTCTTTCTATTTTAAGGTCCTACTAGTGGGGCATGGATACCCTTATGCACATAAAATTATGTATACCAAGCACAACCATTCAATTTTTGTCACACGCAAATTGCTTTATGGGAACAAAAAATGAAATTGACCAAATTAATTATCTCCACGTACCATTGAACCTATGATTCTGCCTTTTCTTTTTTCGACTTTTTTTTGGCTAATATTAGGGTATTGCTACAAGTAGACTGGACTATCTAACCCTGATGTATAAATAGCAAAACCCCCCTTATATTATGCAACTTGAATTATATGATTTTCTGTTATAAGACCTCGTGTATCTGAAATTATGGACCCAGTTTGATTTCATTAAATATGTGCAGACTAAGTGTATTTATGAAAATGTTTGTAAATGTAGTTAAGGTGACTGATTTATTAACAACTTCTAAAATTTGCACGTTTAGTATCTAAATGATTAAATTATGAAAAATTTTAGATGGAGTATTTTGACATTCACTTATCTACTATACATACATATATATACACATATGGTTTTGACATGTCATTGTAACTTAAGATTAGCCAAAGCATCTTTAGTTATAATTTTATATCGTGGAACATTAAATTAGATAAAGAAATATTTGTTGATACATAGGATATCTCATAAAGTGCAGTTAATTAATATTATGATTATTTGGCCTTACACGGAAATTGTTTTCCAAAGGATTTAATTGCAATAAAGTAATTATTAAATATCGAAACAAGAAATTTCCTAGGCCCACAAGCATGAAAAATACTTGTATTTGATATTACTAAAGTCCTTGCAAATTCAATGTGTAATAACAACCTCTACCCACATGAAGGATTGAATTTATATAATTAGATTGGCATTGACTATTTCAATAAAAAGATTGTCTTCATAGCATTAATGTATGTGTTTATCTTATGCAATGGTTCCTAGTTTTTTCAATGACTCCATTCAAATTCTAATTCTATGTGATGATAACCTTTCTAACTAGAAGGAAAAAATTTCCCTTACTTCGGGCCGCATGGATCTCTACTTGGTGCTACATGTGAATGAACCATTTGTCCCTATGGAATCAAGTACGCCAGAGGAGAGATCAATGTATAAATCATGGGAAAGATTCGATCGCTTAAACTTGAGTCTTATGAAGACTCGTGCCAGTAAAAGCATTAGGGGATCAATCCCGCAATATGATGAGGCCAGAGACTTTGTAAAGGCTATTGAAGAGCAACTTGTAAGTATTGACAAATGTTGGCCAACATCTTAATGAAAAGGCTTTTAAGTGTAAAATTTGACAATTTTAAAGATGTGCGTGAACATATGATGGAAATGAGAGATGTTCCTGCTCATCTTAAATCCCTGGATATAGAGATTTTCAAGTCATTCATTGTTCATCTCATTTTGAACTATCTTCCTACGGAGTATGGTCCATTTAAAATATCGTATAGTACATATAAGGAAATATGGACTGTAACAATATGTGTTCAAGAGGAAGCGACGCTAAAGCATGAAATGTTGAAAACTGCTCATTTGACAACTCATTATAAAGAAAATGAGAACAATGGTAAATACAATCCTAAAATGATGAACAAAATGCCAATAAAGCAAAAATGGCAATAAGGATATCTGTTTCTTTTGCAAGAAGAAAGGGAACATATGAAGAAAGATTGTTTCAAGTATAAGAAATGGCTCGAAAATAAAGGTGCAATTATTTCTTTAGTTTGTCATGAATCTCTTTTAGCTAATGTTCCAAATAATACATGGTGGATTGATTCAAGTACTACAATTCATATTGTTAATACTGTGCAAGGCTTTCTGGACCTAAGGAAACCATAACCAAATGAACAAAGAGTATATTCTGAAAATCAGTTGAGTTCAACTGTTGAAAGTGTGGGAACCTTTAGATTAGTTTTAAATTCTAGTTTTCATTTGAATCTTAAAAATAGTTTTTATGTTCCAAGCTTTTTTCGTAATTTAGTTTCTATTTTAAGACTAGCACATTTGAATTTCAAGTTTGAATTTGAAAACAGAGGCTTTAGCTTATTTCACAGTTTGACTATTGTTGGACATTATGTTTTGGTTAATAATTTATATAAATTCGATTTGGATCACACTTACGAGTGTAACTTGTCCGAATTGCATGGTGATGGTATTGGCAATAAACATTGTATTGTTAAAGAAAACTCATTTAAGTTATGGTACAAAAGATTGGGACGTATCTCCATAAAACGATTGAAAAGATTAGTAAATGATGGAGTTTACCAACCTTTTTTTTTTTTTACTG